AGGGAAGGGAAGGGAAGGGAAAAAAGAAGCCACTAACAGCCAAGCACCGACTTTAATTTCAGTTAAGGCTGTCAGGAAGCCTAATCTCCAGTGGGCTTTTTGTTTTTATTTGTTTGTTTTTCCAAGACAGGGTTTCTCTGCTGCTTTTGAGTCTGTCCTGGAACTAGCTCTTGTAGACCAGGCTGGCCTCGAATTCAGAGATCTGCCTGCCTCAGCCTCACGAGTGCTGGGATTAAAGGTGTGTATCACCACCGCCTGGCCAAACTCCAGTTTTTAATGGATGTACTCAAAAGTAGACAGCTCAATCAATAGAAGATGAGACAACCCCCAAGAAGAAAAATCATTAAAATAAGTCCTAGAGTCAAGCCAATAAAGAAGTGGAAATCAGGAAGATGTGACAGCATTTGGATGGCTGGAAGTTCTGGAAGCTTGGGGATGGCGCTGTAAAGTGGACGGAGTCAGACCTGGCAGAAGCCCAGTCAAAGCGACGTCTGAGCTGCTGGGTTTGAAACACTGGCATCGCAGGGAAGCAAGACTTCAAGTAGACAAGTCCAAATGGCGGTGGACAATGGCGGGATCCAGGCTGCTCTAACGCTGCTCAGAGTGGCGGTGAGAGCAGAGGGGTCCGGAAGGTAAGACGGGAGAGAGAGAGACACGGAGTGATGCTTGTTCCCTAGACAACAGTTTCCCCAGAATCGGCTCATTTTCCTGCCTCTGATCCTCAGGCTTTCCCCCAATCAATCTATAGAATGGGTCTGCACACCAAACGATCATCCCACATTACACCTCCTGTGACTCCTACACAAACACACACGTGCAGTCTTACGGGGTAGTCTTTATAGGCAAATCTCATGCAAACAAAACCAAAGAGAAAGGCCCCCAGGGCTTCACCTGCATAAGTCAGCAGGACGGTTCAGAAAGGCTTAGGGTTCTGGCTGCTTGTGTCCCGCCTGCTCCAACCCCAGCCCTTGGCCTGTGTGCCTCGGATGTGGTCGTTCCTGCCTTGGGGCCACCAAGTGTCCCCACAGGGACGTCACGTGTGACTTTTTGCATCTGTGGGATGGGAAGGGGACTGCCTGTGACGTCACCACACGCAGGCAGGTCTGCACCCGAGAGTGAGAGGGTGGACAGGACTAAACCACAACCGTCTGGAATGATGCTTTTGGAGGCCACGTCCCGAGAGGCCATCCAGTCAGTGTGGAAATGACAACCTGCGTCCAGCGCCACGGAGACACACAAAGCCAGCTTGGGAGCTGAGTCATGTGGGGAGGGCCTCTCATCACTCTGTGTCACTCGGCTCGTCTCTATAGCAACAGTCGCGCAAAGGGCGTCATTACACACTGGCTGGAAGGACGAGACAGCTAGACATGAGCGGTATGTGTTGAAAAGCTCTGTATTTGAGCTTTACAAAAAGATGGCAGCTTCATGCAGGAAACACCAAGTACACCGAATATTAACTGCCTATCCAATCCCAGGACTCAGCCCCCACATCTCTGACCAAAGGGAGGTCTGAACTCTGACATTTGATGAA